CAGGTGTTACTAACGTTTCTGCACAAAGTGTCACCACAGCAGCTGAAATTAGGTGTACAATCCTGCACGCAAACTCCTAAATAAGCGCTTGTGAGCTGATGAGCCCCCTCCAGACTTAAATGTGGCCGGTTCCACTAACTCTGCTGTTTGGTCTCCGAGTTGATCAACCAGAAACAGAAACTACACCAGCGCAGTTTAACAAGGTTAACGTTTTCTTTGTATGAAGGTTTGAGGTCTGTGGTGAGTTTATAGAAGCGCAGGAAGTGCACACAGAAAGAAGAAAGGAGCTTTATAGATCACGTACGAAATCATACAGAGTACAACATGCAGTGACATGTGTCGTGTCCGAGCTGCGGACGTAGCCGCGGCATTCCATGGCTTGGTGTTTTGGCATGGGGGCCTAGCCAGGACCCTTACTGTATACTGGGAGGGAATCTGACTTGCGGCTTCTTACCACTACACCATCCAGCTGCAGCAGGATTTTTATTTTAGCCCCAAACACTGAAACAAGAAAATAATTACATTTTCAGAAGAAACTCTGTCTATATAACCAGAACAGGTTCAAAAGCAGGAGAAGGTTTTTCATATGAAAGCAATGTTTGAGAAGGTTCCGTGGTTTAGTTGGAGTGGACGGCTTCATGGCCATGGGTGATGTGAAGGCAGTTATGGTGGTCCAAACCAGAAGAAACTGAAGGACAGAGCGTGAGCTTAGTTGGTGGGGTGTTTTGAGTAACAACCAACTTCTGCTGATCAGTTCGTTCTTTGTCTCCAAGCTCTTCATTCCTTGTTTTCTTTTTCAGGTTTTTGGGAACCATGAGTTCGATAATGGAGTCGAAGGACTCATGAAACCGTTCCTGGAACAGATCAAGTGTCCCATTCTCAGTGCTAACATCAAACCGGACCACACTCTGAACGCAACGTTTGGATCACTTATTTACCTTATAAGATATTTACCATTGGCAGAGAGAAGGTGGGCGTGGTGGGGTACACCACACAGGAAACACCGGCTCTCTCCAAGCCTGGTAAGTGGCTCCTCTGAGCTAATGTGAAAAAACTCCCATGGAAACTGTTTAATGGTTTATTAATGAACAAATACATCAGTGGATGTAGTGTTTTCCTGTGAAAGGAAGTAACTGGTATCGGGAACTGGGATCACGCTTTAATTTGGAAAATAACACCACAGCATTTCCATGAGGATTAAAACCCAAGCTCTGAGTTGGGCCTTTCCATAATCCTCCATTCATCTTATTTATTAAGATCCTTTTAAATCAGGTTACAAAGTGTTTCACTGGACAAGATTGGAAACAACCATCAAATAAAACATCTAAAGTACAATGCATTTTAGATGTGTTCTGGTAATGACTGCACCCTGGCACAGTGGAGAAACCCCACAGCAGAACATTTCCACTGCCATGCTTCACAGTTGCTGTGAAGTTCTTCTTAAAGCTCTTTGTTTCCAAAAAAGCCAGCTGGGGCTGTGGCCAGACAAGAAGACCGTTGATCCATCTGCCCAGGTCACGTGACTTCAGAAGGCCCATTCTGTGTTGTAGTCGAGTATTTATTTCCCCAGGAAGCTTCCCGTGGAGGTCAGATTTGTTCAGATGTGCCTTTGACACGAAGACTGCAGATCTGCTGGCGATGTTTTGGGGCTACTGAAGACTTCTGTGTTTGAATGAGCTGCGACGGCCGGTCCCAGGTGTTGGAACGTGCAACATTTATTGTTCCTTACAATGGGATGAATATACTTTGTCTAACTCGAGCTGTTAAAACATCCTTGTCTGTTGGCCACCAAATGGTCTTCAGGCCTACATGAACACTGAAATAAGGACAGGACATAGAAATACTTTGTTCTTCTTCCTCTTCACAGAAGTTTGTTGGTCACAGCAGAAATAACTGTTACTTATGATAAATCACAGATATAAATATGAAAATAGTGCCTGTGCTGTTTTTTGGATTTGGCTGAAAAGCAGACAGACATGCACAAACTGACCGGTGCCAGTGTTTCTCCCCAGGACCTCACCTGCAGTTCCTGGACGAGGTGACCTCTCTACAGGTACAGGTGGACAAACTTCGGACTCTGGGATCAATAAGATCATCGCTCTCGGTCACTCTGGCTTCACTGTAGATCAGATGATCGCCAAGAAGGTCCGTGGGGTCGACGTCGTCATCGGCGGACACACCAACACGTTCCTGTATACAGGTAGGAAGGCGGATAAAGCTGTCACATCTGCCACATCTGTCACCTACACTGTGGGGCTCACACTATTACTGAAGGCTCAGGCAGTTTTTAACGATTTAAACTGATCAGCAGGTTATTTAATGCATTTAAATAAAGTTTATTTTGCTTGTTTTATGTTTCTTTTTTTAAGTAATCTCTTTCAGTGGTCTGTCAGTGTTGTAAGTCCTACAATGCTGATTAGCATTATAGGCGAAACAACAGATTTTACTTAGACGGGTAAAATCCTCCTCATACCTCAGCTGATTTTGCCCTGTTAATGGTCAGGCGGTAAAAACAGTGACCTGATTTTTCATCCAACCAATCTTAGTTTTGTTTTTCGATCTGCTGCTGTGGCTCTGCTCTTTCATGCATCTTCATGAGCAAAATCATTTACATCTTGCTTCATGCATTTCATTCTCCCGCAGTCCATCTCTGTGAGGCATGTCTTTGTTTCTTCATGGGAGGAAACTTTGAGTCTTCATCCCTCTGGCTCGCTTTGGAGTAAACAGGCTGTCTGTGCGAGTGAGCCTCTTATAAATAACTCTGAAGTGTTGCATGTAAATGGGCAGGACGAGGTTTGGACCTCTAACTGCTCAGATGTTTTCCTGCAGTGTGGAACTGCCTTCACTTAGTGGCTTGGGCAGCGCTTCATCACTATTTGGGGATCAGGAAGGAAGAGAGTCCTTGAAGTCTTCCTGTTGTGCTGATGTTGTGCAGATAAACCTGCACAGCGAATTGGACTTGTGTTTAGACAGCCAAGCATCATTAATCAGCGTTGGTTAGTGGATATTCTAAACGTTGCTAGAGAGTGATATTATACCCCTCTCGTCAAAAAAAGTGACAGGTTACTTCCGGAGCTCATTAATTATTCATGAGCTCCGGAAGTCCGGAAGTAGGAAGTAATTAAATTATCCCCTAATTAAATTAGCCCCTAATTAAATTAGCTCCGGAAGTCCGGAAGTAGGAAGTAATTAAATAATAAAAATATGATTCATAAAAATATGATATTCATAAAAATATGATATTCATAAAAATATGATATTCATAAAAATATAATTGATTATTTAGAAAGTTTCTTATATATCAAAATAGCATTCTTTTATTTCTTTAAGCAATTAAAAATTTATTTATTTTTTATGCTCAAAAAACGCCATCTGGTGGCGGGTCAGTGTGTGCGCGCGCGCGCGCGCCCGAGGCTGTGTGTCTGGGCGCGCGGGGGCGCGCCCGTGTCTCCGGACCGTGCTCTCTCGGGCTCCGTGCTCATGTGTTTAAAAATGTATTAAACCATATTAAAATTGTTTAGTTAAACTTGTGCTTTTGTAACGTTCAGTATGGCCACAAACACATGCTGCATGCCTTGGGGGAAAACTTTATTTCGATTTATATGCATTTGTAGATTTAGAATAAAACTCATACTCAGAAAAAACTCGCGATCCCGCAGCCCCCTTAACCTAATCCTTAGATACATAAGCAGGGAAAACTCCTTAAAAAACCCTCCGCTATTTCTCCAAAACCCTACAATAACTTGTTAGGGTACCCCCTCTATTCCCAAAACCTTATATTCGATAACAGGGAAAATCCTGAAAAAATCCTTAGTCTTTTTTCTCAAATTCAGCGCCCCGCGGCTCCCTTCATGCTCAGCCAAACAAAGCCAAAACTCCTTTTAAAAATTTCTCCGCGATTTCTCCAAAACCCCTAGAATAACTTGTTAGCTACCCCTCTATTCCCCCAAAAAAAGCGCTATAATCCAAAAACATTGGGAAAGCTCCTTACTCTTTTTTCTTTCAAAAACTTGCCTCTTGCTAGCTACCTCTAAAATTCTACGCAGACTCTAAGTTCTACCTCGCTCTTAATCGCACCGATCCCGCAACAGCTTCCAGAGCACAATTTTTTCCTGCTTGTTCGCTCCCCGCTCTGGTCCCGAATGCGCTGCTTACCTCGTTTGAAAATTCCCCCCTTAGACCAACTCCGCCTCACTGCGCCCCGCTGCCAATCACATAACCCTTGCACCGCTCCCTTCGCACCCCGGTTAGCCAATCCGCTCCAGGCTCGATTACTCGCTCTCCCGCTTAAGACTATCTTCGAACCCCAGAAGAGATCTGACTTCAGACGTATCAACAACTGGCGCCGCTCAGACTGCTTGCGAGCTCAACAGCCATGAAACCAGGGATCAACAACTACCTTCGCGTGCCCTATGTGCATATCACTCGGTAAGTGTTAATCTTCCTCTCTAACTACATTTTCGCATTTTCCTTTTACCATTTCTGTCAATCCTTTCATCTCAAAAAAAGCCATGCAAATTAGGCTCTGTAACACTTGGAATACACTTTTTAAAACATATATAAGCTCCCCTCTAACACTCAGAGCTAAAAAGTGCGTTTGTAAGTTAAACTATAGCAGCGATCATGGCCTCATCAGTACCTCATTTTTTCTCACTCTGTTTCATATAATGTTTATATTTTTTACTGTTTTTTCCCGTTTGTAAATACTCGATTTATTTCTTTTCATACTCTGAGATAAACCTGCTCAACTCCTCTTTTTTTGAGTATCTCGATCGAATTGGTAGGTTTGGTTCATTCTTGTTCCCCTTCTTAACAGCTAATTGTACAAGAAACAAAACATTACCCTCTTTTTTCATTTTTATCAACTTTCTAGATATCTCTGACTTGGACACCTTTATTGTACGAGTTCCCGAATTCTTCACCACCAGTGCTTGTGCGATCCACAGGAAAGAATATTCGTCTCTCCACACGGGACAGACAGCATTTGCTCTCTATGCTAGATCGCCCTGGCTTCATCTGCCCCAGTTCCATTCCCGTCGGAGCTTGTTCTCTCCCGCAACCCTCTGGGAAAAACCTGCGCCTGC